GAACAATTGGTTATCTATTACCAAATTGTCAGCCCTGAAAACACAATAGTGTACAAACTGATCAGGTTATATTTCTTAATATATGTTTATTTTTCTTTTTTGATTTAATTTAGAAATAATCAGTCCCATTCCCTCACCATCCCATCCTCTCATTCCCCCCAACAATCCCCCAAACACCCCCCAAACACTCCCCAAGAATAATGAGCCCTTCAATAGGGGATCATCAAAATCAGTCACATCATTCAGAAGAAGGCATAGGCCTTCTTTCATGTATTTGGGCAGCAATAGTATCCCTCCATAGGGAATGGGCTCCCAAAGTCCATTTGTGCACTATGGATAGACACTAACTCCACTGTTAGAGGTCCCATAATCTTCCCAGGACTCCTAGCAGGCACCCACATTCAGAGGGCTTGGTTCAGTCCAATGCTAGTTCCCCAGCTTTACCACTAGAGTCTCTGTGCTCTCACTAGGTCAGGTCAACTGTTCCTGTGGGTTTTGCCAGCACAGTCTCATCTCCTTTGCTCATCCCTCCTCCTTCTCTATGACTGGGTTCCAGGAGTATGGCTTAGTATTTAGCTGTGGGTGCCTATTTCTGCTTCAATCAGCTATTAGATAAAGGCTCTAGGAAGGCAACCAATGTAGTCATCAATCTCATTATAGGGGAAGGGCATCAAAGGCAGCCTCTCCACCACTGCCTAGATTCTTAGTTGAGGTCATTCCTGTGGATCTCTGAACATTTCCCTAGTCGCAAACTTCTCTCTAAACCTATACTGACTCCCTCTATCAAGGTATCTCTTTTCTTGCTCTTCTGTATTCCTCCCCTGTCTCAGTCTTCCTGATCTCTTTTGTTCTCCTCCCCCCTTGTCTTCTCCCCTTCTCTTTTTCCTACCTCCCTCCTTTCTTCCTACATGCTCTCAGTTTGATCAGGTGTTCTTGTCCCTTTGCCCTTCTTCAGGGGACCATGTATTTTATCTGTTTGGGTCCTCGTTTCCTAGTTTCTCTGTTTGTGTGGATTGTAGGCTGGTAGTCCTTTGTTCTGTATCTAATATCCATATGTGAGTGAGTATATGCCATGATTACCTCACTCAGGATGTTTAATTCCACTTCCATCAATTTACGTGCAAATTTCAAGATTTCATTGTTTCTTTTTCCACTGAGTAATACTCCATTTTATAAATGTACCATATTTTCTCCATCCATTCTTTGGTTGAAGGACATCTAAGTTGCTTCCAGGTAATTTGGCTTTGTCTTGTTGTCTGTGTTTTTTGCCTTACACAAGTCTCTCAGTTTCAGGAGGTCCCATATATTAATTGCTGATCTCAGTGTCTGAGCTACTAGTGTTATGTTCAGAAACTGGTCTCCGGTACCAATTCATTCAAGGGTACCTCCAGCTTTCTTATCTAAAAGGTTCTGTTTGGTTGGATTTATGTTGAGGTTTTTTATCCATTTGGACTGAAGTTTTGTGCATGGTGATAGATATGGATCTATCTGCAGTCTTCTACGTGTCAGCATCCACTTATGCCAACACAATTTATTGAAGATGCTTTCCTTTTTCCATTGTATAACTTTAGCTTCTTTGTTAAAGATCAGGTATTCATGGGTGTGTGGGTTGATATCAGAGTTTTCAATTCAATTCCATTGGTCTATCTGTCTATTTTTGTACCAATACCAAGCTGTTTTCAGGTCTATAGCTATCTATAATAGAACTTGAAGTCAGGGATGGTAATGTCTCTGTAAGTTCCTTTATTATAAAGAGTTGTTTAGGCTATCCTAAGTTTTTTGTTTTTCCATATAAAGTTGAGCAATGTTCTCTCAAGGTCTGTGAAGAATTGTTGGGATTTTGATGGGAACTGCATTGAATCTTTAGATTGATTTGGTCATACTTTGAAAACCTGTACTTCACAAAATTTAAAAATTTAAAGGAAATGGACAATTTTCTGTATAGATATCACTTACCAAAATTAAATCAAGATCAGATTATCAATTTAAATAGACCTATAACCTCATCAAATGTCTCCCAACCAAAAAAGTTCAAGGCCAGATGGTTTCACTGCAGAATTCTACCAGAAATTCAAAGAAGAGCTAATAATACCAGTACTCCTCAAAGTATCCCACTTAATAGAAGCAGAAGGGACATTGCCAAACTTGGTACCAAAGTCACACAAAGACACATCTAATAAAGAAAACTACAGATCAATATCCCTCATGTACATTGACGCAAAAACACTCAACGAAATACTGGCAAATCAAATCCAAGAACACAAGAGAAAAATCATCCACCATGATCAAGTAGGCTTCATCCCAGGGATGCACGGATGTTTCAACATAAGAAAATCCATCAATGTAATCCATCATATAACAATCTGAAAAATAAAAACCACATGATCATCTCGCTAGATGCTGAAAAAGCCTTCGACAAAATCCAACACCCCTTCATGATAAAGGTCTTGGAGAGATCAGGAATAAAAGTAATATATCTCAACATAATAAAAGCAATATAGAGCAAACCAACATCCAACATCAAATTAAATGGAGAGAAACTCAAGGAAAATCCTCTAAAATCTGGAACAAGACAAGGCTGTCCACCCTCTCCATATCTCTTCAATATTGTACTCAAAGTTCTAGCTAGAGCAATAAGACAACAAAAGGAGATCAAGGGCATACAAATTAGACAGGAAAAAGCAAACTTTCACTGTTTGCAGATGATATGACAGTTTACATAAGTTACCTGAAAAATTCTATCAGGGAACTCCACAGCTTATAAACATCTTCAGCAAAGTGGAAGAATACAAGATTAACTAAAAAAATCAGTAGCCCTCTCTGTATAGACTATAATTGGGCAGGGAAAGAAATCAGAGTAACATCACCCTTTACAATAGCCACAAACAACATAAAATATCTCAGGGTACTTCTAATCAAACAAGTGAAAATTCTGTAAAGCAAAAGCGTTAAGTCTTTAAAGACAGAAATTAAAGAAGACACAAGAAAATGGAAAGATCTCCCATCCTCTTGAATAGGTAGGATCAACATAGTGTATATATGTTTATATACTTACACATGTGTGTGCAATACCAATTAATTAAAAGAAATGCCATTAATTTGCAAGAAATCAAGGAGGGGTTTATGGGAGGGTTTGAAAGGAGAAAAGAAAAAGCAGAAATGTAATTATATTATAATATCAAAAATTAAATAGTAATGATAATAGTGCTAAAGTATTTCACTTATTCTGTGCATGTGTCTGTGTCTGTCTGTATGTATGAACAGGGTGTTTGTTGGTGAAAGTCAGATGACAGATTCAGCTGTCACATGAGTCCATTTACTCAAAGCAAATAACAGTAAGTACTTGATTGAGTATCAAGTCAATATAAGCTGATGAAGATGATTCAGGGTTTTCATATTTATAGGAAAAGTATAGAAATTATAAAATGAACATGAAGTTGATAAACACAACAATCTAACTAGAATACTTAGGGAATTTTTTCTGTGCAATTGATGAAGTACAAGATAGGTTATTGACATTTGAATACAAAGCAGGGGAATATGACAACTTAAGCAAAGACGTCAGTGTGTCAAACTAGAATCAACAGTTTTGAACATAGTGCCTAACAGGAAAAAAATCATGTCAAATGTCCATCAACTTAGAGGAAATTCATAAAGTTATTTTCTGAAATGATTCTTTTTACTGGGATCAAACACGTTTGTCAATTAACTAGACATTTTTGTGGTTTTATAAATGACATTTTGAAACTTTGAAATATTCTATCTTTATAAGAAAATAAATGTAAAAATAGTCAAAAGCAAGAAAAATGCAAAGAATCACTTGTTCTCTTTACAGCATTTACCTGTTAGGAACATTTTCCTCCCTTTTTATTTACCATTTTCTGTGACATCATCTTTCTCTGTGCACCTGCATACCTTCTGAAGATGATCTTTTGCCTTGACCAAGGTTTTTATCCTTAGACACTTCAATATGTCCTACATATAAGGAAACCATTTCTTAGAGCCTGTTTGTAGTTATAAACATTTTATGCTCTAACATTTTTATGAGTATTTGTGTTTATTTGCAGTATATGCATGCAAGAGGACAAATCCCAAGGCTTCCTATATTCCAGTAAATTATATTCTGAGGCAAACCTTGAACCAGTACAAAAATTCAATTACTATTTTAATTCCAATGTTGTTGAAAACTGGAACAGTGTTTCAGTTTGATGGCCACTGAGGGGAAGAAAATTACATTCCTTTGTTCTCAGATGTGTGTGTGTGGGGGTCTTGATGTATATGGGGTACTATGTACTATGTTGTTATTTTCAGAGCTTTTAGTGTTTTGTGTATAGGTTAAACCAAACAGAGGACCAGTTTGGTAAAATGACATTGTCTTTGCTTGGCTGCTCTCCATGATTATGAGGGATCGTTAGATTGGATGAACTAAAGTCAGAAGATATGTGGGAGATGCCATTTCAGGGGTTAGGGTCTCATACTAACTAAATGGAGAAACTTATCTAAACAAAATATTCATTTCTCTGTTCCATACCCGCCTTTGTAACATAGCCATTCAAAGCTGCCAAGACTTTCCTATCATAACAGGCATTAACTATAACTTTGAACTTTGAACCAAATAGTCCTCCCTTCCTAAATTGCTTTTGTGAGGTATCTTATCCCAAGTACTATAATACATGCAGCACACATACTGATAACAAATTCTTTACTATAGATTTTCTCTAGGAATGCAGTATCTTATTATTATCCTTAGGAAACTTTTCTAAGCAGACAATGAACAAATCAGACATTCCCCCATGTTGATGAAAAAGGGCTAATTTCCTAAACAGAGAAATAGTAAATATTTTCTTCACTTTTATGTATGGTGTGTGTAAACCCCTTGAAGCATACTAATGGCCAGGCATCTCCGCCGAGGACCTCTAACTGTCAGGTTCCACACAGAGAATGCTCGAACTGCCCATGCTCTAACTGCCCTAACTGCTGCATACTGCCAGCACCCTCAGAGTAAAAAGCCTAGTAGTCCCTGGATGTGAAATCTCACCAATCTCCACCCTGGAATGGTCCATCCTAAAAACTTCCACTCTCTTCCCTAGAAATTGTATATAAGTCCTGTATCCTGTTCAGTTTGCTGCTGTTTCTCACCAGAGCAGAGACATCCACTCTCTTGGTTTTTAGTTCATCCAACGAATCTCTTGTGTGAGGTTTGTTGTGAGGTTTGACTGTATGGTGGTATTCCTAGGCTCCTGGCTGCAAGGAAACCTTTCCAACTGGGCTGTAGGGCTTATATTTGGTGTAATGACTCAAATAGGCTCTCCTAGTGCCTGCATTTCCCCTCATGGTCTAAGCTCCACTGGGACCCTATCCCTCATCTCCAGTCCACGTGCAACAGACTCACCTTCTGGCTGACCGATGGCTCAGCGCTCCATCCACCAGCAACAATTAAGTAAGTTTTCCTTTGGTCAATGTAAAGGTTTGCCTGGGTCTGAGGAAGTGACCACTGAGGCTCCAGCACCACTTCTGTACTCCTGGATAGGAAGGTACCTCTACCAGCAGTTTTTGGGACTACAGCTGACCCTTTTCATCTGACCCTATCCCATCCCCTTTGGACTGCAATCCTGCAGTTTCCTTAGGCCAAACCAGTCTTCTTCCAGACTCTCCACACGACACCTGACCTGAAGGGCCCTAAATGTATTTGCCTTTGCAATCAAATTTGGCTTCATTACTCCTTAGATATTTTATCCAAAGGGTCACTTAACAGCACTTTAGATTCTTATTTTATTAGAGACCTTTGTAAATACTTTGTGTGATGGAGAAATGGACAGAGATGCTCTATTCCATATTTCTCGACTCCAAGGCCTGTTTTTATTATTATTATTTATTTTTAAGTTTAAATTTCGGTTAGAAACAAGGTTGCTTAACAAGTCAGTTCCAGGTACCTCTCCCTTCCCCTCCCCTCCTCCTGTGCACTCTGCCCAACCCCTGCATTATCCCCTCATTTTCCCAGAGAGGGTGAGGCCCTCCATGAGGGTGTCCATAGTTTGTCATTTCACCCAGGGCAGGGCCTAGACCCTCCCCCAAGAGTTCAGGGTGAGAGTGCATCTCACATTGATGGATGGGAGTCCAAAGTCCATGTGTATACTCAGGATGAATACTGATCTACTGCCCAAGGCTCAGTAGATCACCTAGGCATCCTCACTGACACCCACATTCAGGGGGTCTTGATCAGTCCCATGCTGGATTCCCAGGCTGATGCCTGGGATTCAAGAGTTAACCCTTGTCAGGTCAGCTGTTTCTGGGGGTTAAACAGCCCAGTCTTAATCCCTTTTGTCATCAGTCCTCCCTCTCTGTTACTGGCTTTCTTGAGTTCAGCTCAGTGCTTAGCCTTGTGAGTGTGCCTCTTCTTCCATCAGCCACTGAATGAAGTTTCTGTTTCCCAGACTCTCTGGCCATGGGATTGTAGGCTGGCACTCCCCAGATCTATGTCTAAAATCCATATATGAGAGAGTACATGTCATGTTTCTCTTTTTGTGACTGTGTTACCTCACTGAGGATGGTTTCTTCTAGTGTCATCCATTTGCCTGCAAATCTCAGGATTCCGTTGTTTTTTCTGCTGAATAGTACTCCAGTGTGTAAATATACCACATTTTCTGTATCCACTCTTCGGTTGAGGGACATCTAGGTTGTTTCCAAGTTCTGGCTATTACAAATAATGCTGCTATGAACATAGTGGAACAGACATCCTTATTGTGTGAATGGGCATCTTTTGGATATATGCCTAAGAGTAGAGTTGCTGGGTCTTGTGGTAAGTTTATTCCCATTTTTCTGAGGAATATCCATACTGATTTCCAGAGTGGCTGAACAAGTTGGCACTCCCACCAGCAATGCAGGAGTGTTCCCCTTTCACCGCATGCTCTCCAGCATAAATTGTCATTGGTGTTTTTGATTTTAGCCACTCTGACAGGAGTGAGATGGTATCTCAGAGTTGTTTTGATTTGCATTTCCCAGATGGCTAAGGATGTTGAGCACTTTTTCAAGTGACTCTCAGCCATTTTAGACTCCTCTATTGAAAACTCTCTATTTAGTTCTGCAGCCCACTTTTTAATTGGATCCTTTGGTGTTTTGGAGACTTGCTTCTTGTGTTCTTTGTAAATTTTGGAGATCAACCCTCTGTCTGATGTGAGATTAGTGAATATTTTTCCCATTCTGTGGGCTGCCTTTTTGTGTTGCTGACTGTGTCCTTTGCCTTACAGAAGCTTCACAGTTTCAGGAGGTCCCATTTATTAATTGTTGATCTCACTGTCTGTGCTAGTGGTGTTATGTTCAGGAAGCTGTCTCCTGTACCAATTCTTTCAAGGGTACCACCCACTTTCTCTTCTATGAGGTTCAGTGTGGCTGGATTTATGTTGAGGTCTTTCATCCATTTGCACTTAAGTTTTGTGCATGGCAATACACATGGATCGATCCGCGTTCTTCTACATGCCAGCCTCCAGTTATGCCAGCACCATTTGTTGAAGATGCTTTCTTTATTCCATTGTATATTTTTAGCTTCTTTGTCAAAGATCAGATGTTCATACATGTGTTGGTTAGCATCAGGGTTTTCATTTGGATTCCATTGGTCTACCTGTCTATTTTTGTGCCAACACCAAGCTGTTTTTAGGACTATAGCTCTGTAACAGAGCTTGATGCCTTAATCACATGACCATCTCACTAGACGCTGAAAAAGCCTTTGAGAAAATCCAACACCCCTTCATGATAAAGGTCTTGGAGAGATCTGGGATAACAGGAACATACTTAAACATAATAAAAGCTATATACAGTAAACCAACAGCCCACATCAAACTAAATGGACAATTCCTCTAAAATCAGGAACAAAACAAGGCTGTCCACTCTCTCCATACCTTTTCAACATGGTACTTGAAGTTCTAGCCATTGCCATACGACAACAAAGGGGGATCAAGGGGATTCAAATTGGGAAGGAAGAGGTCAAATTTCCACTGTTTGCAGATGATATGACAGCTTACATCAATGACCCAAAGAACTCTACCAGGGAACTCTTACAGCTGATTAACACCTTCAGCAAAGTGGCAGGCTACAAGATCAACTCAAAAAAATCAGTAGCCCTACTATATATAGATGATAAAAGGGCTGAAAAAGAAATCAGAGAAACACCACCCTTTGCAATTGCCACAAACTACATAAAATACCTTGGGGTAACGCTAACCAAACAAGTGAAAGACCTGTATCGCAAGAACTTTGAATCTTTAAAGAAAGAAATTAAAGAAGCCCTCAGAAAATGGAAAGATCTCCCATGCTCTTGGATAGGTAGGCCTGGTTTTTTTTTACACTGGGTAAATATGTGTCTTTTAACTTGCCGTACATGGGTCTGTAAGTTTGTTACAAAGTAGGAGCTAGAGTGAGATCTAGTAAGATGGGGAGAAAGCAAAGGAGTCGGCCAGCTGCTGCACACACACCTTGTAGGCAATCTTCACTAGCTAGTTAGTGTGTTCTGTCATCTCTCTACCTCCTGCAGAAGCTTTTTTGGTTATTGGTTGTTTTTGAGGCAGGGTTTCTTTATTGCTTTGGAGGCTGTCCTGTAACTCTCTCTGTAGACCAGGTTGGTCTCAAACTCACAGAGATCAGCCTACCTCTGCCTCCCTAGTGCTGGGATTAAAGGCGTGTGCCACCACAACCCAGTCCCTGCAGCATTTTTTATCCATAGCCAGGACTCAAAAATTTCCCATCTTGAAGGCTTCTTTATTGTCAGCTTACTAGATTCAGTTTTACAAGGATTCTGGTGTCTTAGCAATGAGTGGCATGAGACAGTTGTTTTATGATATCCCACTTGAATTAAAATCTGGCTCTATAGTTAAAGTATGGCTCTCCCTCCTCTAAACCCAAGCACACATGTTTAAAGGTTTCCTCCAAAATCTCTGTCCCATACCAAGTGAGCCATCTGCTGTGTGACAGAGAAAGGGACAGGCTATTCCCAATAGGACTATTGCTACTAATCTTCATACTCTTATGGTTTCGGTTTAACTCGTTAAACTTGTGCAAAGGATAAAAATCTTATCTCAAGATTTATAAAACTATTATGCAAACTTCCTGTACCTCAAGATTTGTAAGCATATTTGGTCTAATGAAAACCCTATAAAATTTGCAACAAAAGGGTTAATTTAAAACTTATAATGCCAGGGTTGATAGTTAAAAATCTATACATAGGAAATCTTCATGAAAACACGTGGTTTATTGAACTGTTAGCTGCTGCCCACACCCACTGAGATGGAGGTAGCCATGTGACCAACAGCCATGTTTTCTAGGTTTGGACAGGATGACCTTTGCCATGTGACCTCAATTCAAAGTTGATAAAAGTGACCACACAATACATCTGAGGAAATCCAACTCCTCCTAGATGTAAGGCCCAAACCAGATGATTGGTCTACTATTTTCAATCACACTAACAAGCCTCAACCCACAGTCACTCCCTTCCTCTCCAGCCTTTCTGGTTTCCCTTTCTCTCTTCTCAGTGGCAGAGCTGAGGCAGTCTATGACCAGGACTCTGAATGAAATACAATATACCAGAAGTCGTCTTTCTTATGGGTTAGTTTGTAACTTGCCTCCTGGCTGACCACCCTTAGAGTGGTTAATTATGAAAAAAAAATCCAAGAGGTCATCCAGGCCAAGCATGATGGCATGTTCAACAGGAAGTAAAATAATGATAACATCATCCCTTTTCCCATGCCTCACATTATTCATCAACAATAGATAAAAGGCGGGGATATAAGCCACTTGAGCCACAGAAATAGCCAAACCCCTCTCCTGAGGACCTGTAACTCAGAATACTTTAAACTGCCCTAATTGTTGAACCCTTGCCCCCACCCTACAGAATAGAAAGCACAATCTCTGGACATGAAATCCCACCAATCTACACACTGGAAGCTCCATCCTGAAAGGTTCCACCCCATTTCCCAAGAAACTATGTATAAGTCCTGTATCCTGTTCGGTTTGATGCTGTTTCTCACCTGATCAGAGACAGCCACTCTCTTGATTTTTTCCTTTCCAATAAATCTCTTGGGTGAGCTTTGTTATATGGTACAACTTTGTGGTATTCCATGGTTCCTGACTGACAGGATATCTTTCCATCCAAGCTGTAATACTTACAATTAAGTGGGTGTGTTTGTGCTTGCGTGCATGTGTGTGTGTGTGTGTGTGTGTGTGTGTGTGTGTGTAATATAAGGTATGCAGTTATACGGTGTGTTATGTAGAGACTGAGACAATGCAGGTCAGTAGATAATATCCAGTGTTGATCTTCCATCATAGTTTAGATAGACTCTGTTATTCAGGAATAAGTAACATAAGTCAGGGTAGTTCGTTAAAAATCCTACAGTGATTCTACTATGGCTACTCTCATCACCTAATGGGAGCTTCTGATTTAGAGATGCATGCACTACATGTATACCTGTATATTATATACATACATATGCATTTGTGTTATATAATAAATTTTATATAATACATGTATTTCAGTTCACTCAGGTAAACTCACCTTTTTCACGTATGTGCTTTAATTTTTGCATCATCTTTATTTTAATTTTTTATTGAAAATAGATTGTTCTTTTATACAATACATCTGACCATAGTTTTCCTTCCTTCTTTCCAGATTCCCTCCACATCCCCACTTCCTCAGATTGATCCACTATCTCTATGGTTTTCTCTTCAGAAAAGAACAGTGATGACTGTCAAACAGGACAAACTAACATATTGTAAGAGAAGGTAAAAGTCCTCATGTCGAGATTGCACATTGCAACCCAATAGGAAGAAGAGTCCCAAGAGCAGGCAAAAGAGTCAGAGATATGCTCCCACTGTTACAAATCCCACAAAGAAGGATCATTTCTTGAGGTGAGCTTCTATATATATTCTTAAATTCTTGTTCAATTTCTAATTTCACCCTCCGCAGTAAGCTTCCTTGTCAAAAAATCTTTGGATTCCCGGCCCCCAAGTCATGACATGAAAATTTATTAGATTAGGCTTATCTCACCTAGCTCTGATAATTTAAATTAACGCATTTATATTAATCTGCATTCTGCCATGTGGCATTACCTCTCTTCCATCTCGCACCTCTCATTTCATCTCCGTGTCTCACTGTGATTCTCTCTTCTTCATTAAGTTCTCTTTCTGCCTGGAAGTTCTTCCTATATTGCCCAGCTATTGACTGACTGTTCAACTTTTTATAACACCAATCACAGCAATACATTTTCACTCAGTGTACAAATCACCCACAACAATCCTCTGTGATGGTTATTTCTGATTGCTAATTTGTTTCAGCAATCATCTATGAAACAAAACTCCTAGCACAAGTGTGAGCGATGTTAATTAACACAGGTTTTGCCCATGCATATAAGGAATTTTCTTAATTAGATTGAGATGTGAAGAGCAAGCAAAATTTGATCTGGACCATGTCTTACTCATGGTTTCTGGAATACACACAACAGAAAAATTGCTGATAAGCTTTCTTTACAGCATAATATTTGACTTTCAGAACTGTTGTAAAAGACCTATACAAAAGGAAAAAGGTTATGTTTTGTTGTTGTTTTGTTTATTTTTTAAATAATTTTAGTAAGTAGTTTTCCTTTCATAACTGCAAGTATTATTAAAAGTAGTGGAGTAATTTTGTAAAATATCTCATAATCTATTTAGAATTGAAAATATTACAAGAATATGCCTTAAACAAATTCTAGATTGAGTCATGGATTAAGAGGAATTGTTTGGGGCTGAAGAGGTGGCCCAGAAGTTAAGAGCACTGGTTGCTCTTCCAGAGGTCATGGGTTCAGTTCCTAGCAACCATATGGTGATTTACAATCATCTATAATGGGATCTGATATCCTTTCCTGGCATAAAGTTGATAGAACACTTATATAGAGAAATAAATTAAAAGAAATAAATTAGAAGGAAAGAAAAGAAGAAAGGAAGGAAGGAAAGGAGGAAGGAAGGAAGGAAGGAAGGAAGGAAGGAAGGAAGGGAGGAAGGAAGGAAAGCTTATTTAAAATAGAGGGTTTTTTTTTTTTAGATCTGGAAATGTTTCCCAGCTCCGGTATGGCAGCTTTAGAACAAAACTGTAACTTGAGAGCTATAGGATCCTGTGGCCTGCTCTGACCTCTGCAGGCACCAAGGCAATCACTCATACACATAATATAACAAAATAAATATATCTTTAAATTTAAAAGTATAGCATAAAATGCTGCCTAATATATTGTCCGAAAACATTACATATATGACAACCGGGAATATTTTAATATATGGTGTTATATAAATATATTTAACAAAAGGTTTCTCAATTGTTTATTTTAATTTTTTGAAATCATAATATATCCTCCCTCTAAATTTTCGACATTCCTCATTTTGAATTATTTCAAATCCATGTGTCTTTTTATATTAATTGTTGGTACATGAATATATGCATACATGCATATAAATAAATATTTATTTCTAAATGTATATAGATGAAACCTGCCCAAACTGTATAGTGCCAAATGTGTTTGTGTTTGCAGGGACAGACAACTTTATATCACGGATCTACCACAGCCAGGTTAAGAGAATGGAAGCCATTGATGCCTACAAATGGACTGTCTCTGCACTGTGAACCTATTGAAATTAAGGTTTCATTGGATACCTGAGCCTTTCTACTCTCCAACCCTCTATCTCATCCTGATACCTGTGTTTGGCATAAATACAGAGTTATGGTCAACTCCCACCATCCTTGGGCCTGGACTAGAAACTAATGAAGACAGAAACAGAGATGGTATTAGTTAATTTAGAGAGAGAATATTTATTGAGTGACAACCCAGGGTGACCAGTGTCTCTGCGTGTCAGTTTACCTTGAGAATATCATAAAGAAGCTCATTATAATTGGAGCAAGGAGATTGCTATTCTCTGACACCAGTCTGAGAGAACTTCCAAAGAGGTGTCCTGTGTTTGGGGATGGCAAAGTCTTGTAATCATTGTCCTGGCAAATGTCATGAAGTCATACATATAGGCAAATATAAGCAACACTTAATGGCCTCAGCAAGTTGTACTTGCGCGGATATGTATTTGTATATGTATATATATATATATATATATACATATATATACATATGTATATATATAATATCTGCTGAATAATTTCATGTCACAAGTTGAAGTCATCTGAGAGAAGGGAATTTCATACCTCCATAAATTTCATACCTGGAGACAAGATTTCAGGGCATTTTCTTTAATAGTGATTGATAGGGGAGTACCCAGTTCACTGTAGTGGTGCTATCCCTGTGCTGGTGATGCAGTCTACAGAAAGATGACTGAACAAACTATAATGAAGAAGCCAGCAAGGAGCACTCTTCAGTGGCCTGTGCATCAACTCCTGTCCTGACTTCCTTTGCCTCAGGGAACTTTGAAGAAATGACAGAAAGATTTCTGGTTCTAGAGTCCAGGAGATCTGTTGAGTTGTGTCTTCTAGAAATCACAGGAAGCCACACACATGAAATTCAATGTGACTGCCTAAATAAGACTTCAACAGGGGTATCAACAATAGACATACTGATATGTACTGAGGGATTTTTCTGTAATTAATAGTGCTTGATTCAGCACAATGAAGACCTGAGATTGCTTCATAGATTGTTTAGAAACAATACAGGCAACAAGGTAGTTGCTGACTGTGTGCATTTACGTGGTTTATATGTGTAGAGGGTGGAAACATGTTCATTTCCGAGGGGTCAAACTTGCCTCACAGAAATAAAGTGGAAAGTGATAGAGAAGATCACACTGACAGGAAGCACTCCAAACAGACATGTACATCTGAAGATTATACATGTACATGTGAGAAACCCACCTCCATATACTAACATTATTTTGGAAACTTTGACACCATGAGGGCTATTGCAAAGAAATTAAAGGAATGATGCTTATTTCTACAATTGTCCCATATGACTTGTTTATACTTCAAATTTTATTTTGTTATGATTTTTTCTAATGTAGTAGTTATTATTTCACCTGCAGTGTTCAATGATGATGTTAAAAGGATGGCCTGAATTGCAAAGGAAGTTATATATAGCATGTAGGTCTATTCACCTCAAAAGGATATTGATTAAGATATAAATTCATGAGGAACTTTCAGCTTGCCAGATTCTATCCCTCATGTCTGTTATCCATAAAGGTTAAGCATGATAAAGGAAACTGCTCATACAAATCCAGAGGCATTCTGATTGTGGATGGTGCCAGGAGAGTCCCAGACTTTAAGACAGATGCCACAATGAGAACATATTCAATGTTCAAGTTCTCTTCCTTCCCAGAATCCAGCTTTTCTTTTAGGGCTCATGATGATGCATATTGGTTGACATTCAGTGATTAGACCCTTTTCATCAGTAAGGGAGTGTGTGTCTGAAGTTGAAGGCATGGAAACCCCTGTCTCTCAAAGTCCACAGGACAGAAAATTATTACATATTCAAGAGTGGCAGAACCGTAGAGGGCAAGGGTGCGGTGTGAGAGCTGGGTAGGATGAAAGAGATTGTCAACTGGTTTGGGTTCCTCTCAATCTCATTTTCTATATCTATCTCACTAACTTTATATGAGGACATCAGGAAAATTCAACCAGATTTTCCTCCGCATTGTATTAATGATGTTTAAAACAAGTGCTCTTCTACAAGGTTTCTGGTAAATAGCACTCTGTCACATGCCTTTTGTTAAGCCAATGGTTTGAGGTACATTTCCTTACCTGGTTACTGATGAAGGAAAACATACAAGCACCAGAGATTTTGTCCTTAGGGCAGCCAGAGGGAAAAAACCAGAATCGCTGTGGGCAGATGGCCATTCTCACAAACAGTAGAAAGATCATTACCAAAAAGTTTTCCTGTCTTAGTGACTGGCAAGGCTGTGCACTCTTTGTCTTGTGAAATTTTTCATGTTCTGGAATTTGCTGGTCATTCTGTTGAATGAATATATTTTTTCCCCAAACACTACAATGTAGTTAATCCTAGAGGCCTGCTCTGAGAGTCATCCCAACAGGAACTGTCATGAGATAGTGCTGTCTAACCTCTGCATGCAGCATGAGAGCCTTGATATCTAGTTGAACAAGTTTCTTGAGTTTATGGGCAGTCAGTGGACTCCATGGTCGTAACTATTTTTATGGCTATATTCACTGGCGTTCACATCAAAGTTTTATGAGTATCAATTGTCATAGGGAGTCTCTCATTTTTTATTTCTTTTCTGTCTCCTCAAACAACCATTGTCAAATCTCATCTGCAGCATCTGCCTTTCAGAAGGTATCTTACAAAACCCCACTAGTCAGCCAGCCTCTGGTCCCTTTCCCCTATAGAATAAGTCTGAAGTTGAGGTCAAAACTTCTTCGGCTCATCTAAATTGTTTTTGTAATACAACGACAGAGTACTTTCTTAAATAAGTACTTAAAGCAAATTCATTAAAAGTTAACAGGGATTTATGTTGTAAAATAAAAATATCAGTGATTACTGAATACAGAGTATATCTGTAGTAGTCTGGACTCAGGTCTGAAAGAGAAATGTCAAGCTAGCTTCTTCTGGAGGTAGGACTGAGGGCAGAGATCCAGGTAGAAGCCTAAAGCCATTTCTGCTAAGGTCTGGAATAGATTCTATACAATAACTTAAATGACTTTTCCACAATATTTAATGATAGGAGTTTTTAAGTGCAATAATTAGGCAATTTCTTGCTCTGATACATGTACTATGAACCCTCCTGATGGGGAACATATGAGGATCTACACTGTCATGTGAACTTAGACATATGACTACAATTATATGAAAACAATACTTTGGCATACTCTATGTCACGGAAGATATCTATATAGTTGAGTACATTTTCATCCTAGACACAAGCTGAGTCTTTAAATCAAATTTTACCATTTACTTTTACTTTGGTCTGACCTGGGTAAGCATGTATACATATATATCCATTTTCCAAGCTAGAAGGGCTTTGTTATTTTAGTTCAAAATGGAGACAGAAATTGAGACAAGCCAAACGAAGGAAGTTCAAGTAGTCACTGCTCTGGTGTTGGTCTCTGACTGGGTTTCTGAACTTCAGGATGAATTTTCCCTGTGCGTCTGTGGCCAGGCGTTTCACACAGAGTGATGGCAGGCAGGGGAAAGAGATGTAAACTCATGATCCTTGAGGCCTGAATGCTGCATTTCTAAGGTTGTTATATGGATGCTCTTGCCCTATGAGGAGAAAATGTGAATATGAACTGCAGCTAATTGTGATGAGTGTGAACAAGCCTTGAGCACCCACCTGCTGTATTGCATTTATCCTCGTGCTTTATGCTTTTGAACAAAGAAGGCTGTACATCCTCAAACATCAGGAGTCTCACTGGTCAGACTCTGGTGAGGAAAGTGTGTGTAAGCCGAGAACTTTATAAACACAAGCAATAGCCTGTAGCTCTGCTTAAAGTGAAAGAGCTCATTTGGTAGTGGGGGTTTTCTGTGCTTCCCTTTTACAGTTTTAAAGCTTCCTGATTTCTATCTTCAGATCAACCAACGTTTTTTTTTGTTGGCTTTTTAATTAATGCTTTATGTATGGATGTAATTTTCTGTGAACTATGTGCTTTCCTGTAAACTTCTTGGCCAAAAGGGGACATTGGAATCACTGGGTCTGGGCACACTAACTATTGTTAGCTGCCAATATCAAATCATTTCCTATGGTAGAACATCCAGTACTCTTTGAAGATTTATAATAAAAAGGAAATATATCAATGTGTTTTGGGTGTTATTACTCTTTACGTAAATCTATTAGTCCTGCAGAACCCTGCTCTGCTCAGTGTTTTCCCACTCATGGTGCCTGTAAGATTTACAGAGATTTTACTTCCCTATTGAGTTCTGAGGCCAGAGGTCTCAGAAGCAGTACAGTGGATGCTATTTGCTTCCTTCCACTGCTGCTGGCTTTGACAATGGTCAGGGGATTCAGGAGAGTGTTGAAGATTCCAAACCTTCTGTTTGCACACCAGCGACTGTGTGCTGGTAAACCACAACTTCAAAATTGAAATTAGTATCTCAATGTTTCTCTCTCTCTCTCTCTCTCTCTCTGTCTTTCTCTCTGTCTCTGTCTCTGTCTCTGTCTCTCTCTCTCTCTGTCTCTCTCTCTCTCTGTCTTCCTCTCTCTCTGTCTTTCTGGCTTTCTGAGACATGGTTTCTCTGTATTGCTTTGGAGACTGTCCTGGAACTTGCTCTGTAGACCAGACTGGCCAGATCCACTTGCCTCTGCCTCCCCAGTGCTGTGATTAAAGGCATGTGCCACCACTGCTTGGCCACTTTTCTTTAATGTTTTAAGTTACTGATTCTCAAAAAAAATCTCAAAGATCTTGTGCTGTGACAGGTGTGGCTTTCAAGTATTGTGAAATCTTGATTCTCTACATTTCTGATTCATCACTGCTTTTTTTTTTTTCGAGACAGGGTTTCTCTGTATTGTTTGGAGGCTGTCCTGGAATTCACTCTGCAGACCAGGCTGGCCTCGAACTCACAGAGATCTGCCTCCGTCTGCCTCCCGAGTGCTGGAATTAAAGGCATGCACAACAAAGCTTGGCTCATCACTGCTTTTTAATGAACTCTTCCTTTGTTTTACCATGTGGCCCAGACACAGAGTCAGTACTACAAGAGAAAAGAGTTCGGTTAGCATTCAGATTTAGGTTCAAGAGGATTCTATTGAATCAATATGTTAAATTCAAGGTATCGGGATTCATACTTGTGATTTAAGAGTTTCCATACAAGTGCAAAATTCCTTCAGAGAACTGCCACATATGTCAAGTTCTTAGAATTTCTATTACCAATATGATGTATGAAGGTAACACAAGCTTTAAAATAAGAATAGCATGATACCAAGGTAAAACATTTTGTAAATACATACATTTTAGAATCGGGCTTATCCCTTCCCCTCATATTCCATCACTGACTGAGGTTTACACTGTCAATTGTATAAAAACGAAAATGGTTATATATTTTTGTAACATGCCTATCTATACTCCTGGCACTTAGGAGATGATCACAGGGAGGAGCAAGAGTCCCTCATAAGCCTGTGCTCCTTAGGAAAGTCCTGTGTTGAAAATGAAAGAAACAAACTTTAAACAATGCCTTACCATGACTGGGTGGATTTTTGTAGGCAACCATATACAGAGGAATAAAACTGTAAAAAATGAATTTTATACAGATACAAAAAATCTTAGTTTCTGTTTTCTTCAGCTTTTAAACGTAGAATTAAGCACTAATGTTCCACAGATTTCTGTCAGATTTCTCTGTGAGAAACCTTTGTGGAATATGTGAATGCTGTCTATCTAATCTGCATGCCTCCCCACTTTCCTGAAGTTACTATGAGATGTCGCCTATACTCTTGCATGGCTTTTCAAAGGTCAGCTTCACTGAGCACACTGGTCACACGGATGACCTCAGATTGTTAACCCATACCTGAGTTCTTCTGGTTAATACTTTCTTATTATATCTGTATTTAATAAACTTCAGAAAAATTCCAGAAGTATATAATATAAAGAATGGTAGGTGGTTAACCAAGAAAGGGTTTATGATCCTGAATGTGATCCTCTTGTGTTCAGTGTGGGTATATCACTGCTCCTAGAAAGATATGAAATGATTTTTTTACATGGATTCAGAGTCATAGCTGTTTTTTAGACCATCCTTCTAAAATCAGGGGCTACCTACTTGTAAGAAAATATGAAAGTCTTTTTTTATATAAATGTGTAGAGGACATGTGCACTTAGTTATCTTACTTCAGAAAAAAATAGCTTTTTTTCCTTCATGGGAATTCTGTTTTCAGGTAACACAGGAAATTGCTATATTATTTCTCCATTAAGACAAAATATTATTACACAAGGAACTGTTAGCATGTAACTGGACCACATTAAGTAATTGGTAACTGGATTAAACGTATGAAAGAATATTACATGAAT